TGGTTCATTATTGCTTTCATTAATCTCTAAATCTATTGTAAAAATAGAAGCGATTAATATCCCTAATTCTCAGCTAAGTATCTCTCATACAAATTTAAATCAGGTACAATAGCAGACCATAAAAAATTAAATTTATTTCTCAAAATATACTTTAGAGTTAGTTTTGGTTAATTTCAATTGATTTATTTCAATTGAGTCATTTTTCAAAGGGGAAATTATCATTGACCTCTGTTGAGGTTTAGTGTATTATCATTACACCCCCGCACAATAAAAAATGTACTATTACCCCCTCCCTATTTTTTAGTCATGGTTTAGTGACTTCTAATCTACGTTTAGAGAAAATTATAGACACAGTTTGGTTTCGGTTAATTTCAATTTGGTTGTTTCAATTTTGGTCAATTTTAGCATGTTTTGATCAACTCTTTTCAATTCATTTTTTTAATCCAAAGTCATAAAGTGTCCTATATAGAGTGAGATAAGTTTTGATCGTTTTTTGTTTCATTAGGTTTGATTTTCAATGTAAGGGTCTTTGATATGGACAAATTTATTAATCGTCCAATTAGATCCGTGATTGAATAAAATTACAACATTAAAAGTTTACATAGTCAACGATTATGGAACTGTATCTATAATTTTCTAAGTGTAAAATAAAAGTTACTTAATCATCATTTAAGGATAAAGAGGGGGGTAAGAGTACATTTTTTATAGTGTAGGGGTGTGAGTGATAATACATTAAACCTGAAGGAAGGTGAATGATAATTTCCCATATACAAAACATTCATTTGGACAACTCCTCTTATACATAGGATATTGGGCATATATATTTACCCACCAGCAATAAGCTCGACCAGGTACATTTAGTATATATGCAGGGCCGATCCTAGCATTTTTTTGGCCCGAATCGAATTTTTGTAAAAGGCTCTTAAATAGTGTAAAATTTGGAAATTAAGATTTGTAAGCACTAATTTAATTTATATGCCTACATCAAATAATTAATCCCACATAGTTGCATGATATTATTTTGATTAATATTATTTATATTGTTGTTATCTTAATAAAATAGAAAAAATTGTATATACATATTACTAGAATTAAATTATTTATCGGCCCCTATTATTGACCAAATTTTTGGGGCCTGAGGCAACTGCCTCTTTGCCTCAAGAGAGGGTTCGGCCCTGTATATATGTGTACATATAGAGTAATGATCATGTCAGGTAGTTCTGACGGGAAGTGTCCTCCGAACTTTTCTATTTGAGGTGCTTCCCGGTGGCTTTTTTTACGAAAGTTTGTGAGCATGTTCACCATGAAATGCATATTATGTCCACAAAATTTCAAGTTAAATTTAATCAGGAAGGCAATTAAATAAATTGTTGAAAAAATATTGCGGCAAAATGTAAATAAAAAACATGGTATTTTTTTAATAATTTATTTAACTGACTTCTCAGTTGAATTTTAAGTTGAACGTTCTCACAAAGTTTAATAAAAAAAAAAATTAAATCCGCAAACACCTCAAATAGCCAACTGGTAGCGAGGGAGTGCCACAAGGGTTAGGTCTCGGGTTCGAATCCCGGCAACTGCGATGAGGGGTTACTATGCTGAAAAATGCACAAGGCTTCTGCAAGTACCGGGGACAGAACTCCACTCTCTATCTGTCAGATTGTGATTATAGTCCAATTTACATCCTCCCATCGTGCCGTCCAGTCGGTGTTGGGGGCCTCTCAGGGATGGGGTGTCATCCTTTTTTTTAGGAAATTTTTTGTCTTATCGCATAAATAATGAACATATTCATAAGTTTCAAATTCTTTAAGGAGGCAAGATTAACAGTTTCAACAAAAGACATGTTACAAGTTGGTTGATCGCCGTAGAAAAAGAATTTGTAGCATTATGAAAATTAACTAATAGATCAGAAATTATTGTATAATATCTCTTGTCCAAGATTCAATATTATGGCCCACATTCCTTATTAAAAAAGCATACAACTCAGTTTAAGAATCACATGAATTAATTCATAAGTACTATCCTAACAAATACATAAATTGTTTGAAAATCCACAATACTTGACACATAAAGATTACAAATACGCTTTCCAATATTGTTTAATAAGGTTATTACCGCAAATCAGTTTATCCCATTTTTATATTCACCATTATGAATTATGATACCCCAAAGCCGTTAACACGTCTTGGATATACAAATTTAAAATATGACAATACATCGGAAAAATTCACCCACATTAGTTGAGAAAACACAATAGAGACATAGCAACAGTATTATTAATTGTTTTATCAAATCCAAGAGCAAATGTCTTATTAATCAAATTATATTCGGTTAAAATTCTTTCAATTAAATTATAAATGTTATCATTGGTGTGTCTGTCATTAAATTCTCTAAAAGTAATATCTATCTTATGCATAAGTGATGATATTTATCTTCCTAAATATCAGAACAAATAGTAAGACGATCGGAGAAAGTTAAAAAAATTGATTAATCTATCTTTTTCAAGATTATATAGCATAATACTCCTTGTATCGCCAAGTATTTAGTCACAACTTTCCCATATTACCTTCTTATTTTATTCAATTTCATTAATAACCATAGCCCAATTCTCCTCTATGTACGAACGAGTGAACAACCCCTTCGGCTGAAGAATTCAATTCCTAGCTTCCATGAAACTTCCTCCATGTGCAAGTATGTCTCTGAAATTTTCTCACACCAAGGAATAGGGGTGGGCACGGTCCGGGACGGTCTGGTATTTGGCTTATCCCGATCCCGTCCCGGTTTTATAACAACGGTCTGGTTCGGTACGGGATAAGTCTTCATCCCAATGTTGTCCCATTTAAAATGGGACCGGGACAATCCGAGAAAAACCGGGACGGTTCGGGATGTCCCATAAAATATGCATTTGTGAAATGTGATATAAAAATAAGCATAACATCAATATAAAGATGTAACTTTTTTTTGCAAATTTAGCTTCCCCAAAAAGTTAAGTAAAACCTTTAATGAACTATTTTTAATTTTGTCTAGTAAATTTTTTTAGTCCCCCTAATCTTGTGTTTCCTCTAGTAGAATGGTAGCGCAAAATATTTTTATACCTTGTAGTACACTTGTAATTTTTCAATACCACATTAAATTAAACATCATATCTATCAATGTTCTAAAAGGCGCTAGGCGCTAGTCGGGCGTCAACCCAGCGCCTAGCGCCTAGTCGGCTAGGCGGGCGCCTAGGCGGGGACTAATCGGAGACATCAAATTGTAGTTTTATCAATTTTTTTGCATAAATATAATTTGTAATGTTGTGTTTGTGTGTGTATAAAAAATATATACACACACATACACATTAACATGCATGAATGATAGAGTTATCACATTTAATAATATATTATATCTACTCACTTACTCATGACTAGTAGCTTTCTTCACATGCATTGTCAAAGTTAAAGGTACATATTTCTTAGGATACTAAAATAAAAAAAGCAAAAAAAAAAATGTTCGATGAATCTAGACGCCTAAGCTAGGCGGCCCATTAAGGGCTCTGGGCGGGCAACTAGGCGCCCTAGACGGCCGACGAATTCACCTAGGCGCCGATTCAATTAGTCGGGGCACCTAGACCAAAATCAGGGCGCCCGACCACCGCCTAGCGCCTAGGCGGGGACTAGTCGGGCGCCTAGAGCGATTTTTAGAACAGTGATATCTATAAAGACACTATATATATTCTAGTAGTTATTTTGGAAAATATTAAATTATTTAAATCTATAACAACACTATAATTTGGAGTAGTAGTTATTCCATTATAAATAGTATTTCGCACGTAATAATATATTATGGATTAGTATTGGAATGAGAAGTAAACAAATTTTAATCAAAAGAAACAAAAGAAATGAGACTAAGAGAGACATTAAATAAGATAAAATTACACTACAGAGACTAAGGACTAGAAAGTTTTAATTGAGTTTGACTATTACATAGCCTTAGAAATTTAAAATAACATATTAATTTCAAACGGGACACCGGGACGAGACATGATATTTTATAGCTATCCCGGTCCTGTCCCGTTTAATATCGGTGCGGGACCGGTTCGGGATGAAAAAATTGCGTCCTATAAGGATCGGGATAGCTAGTTTCAGAATAGTATCGGGATTTTTCGGTTTCACATAAAAAAAGCGCAAAAAGTTTAGTGAGTCATTTTACTTTATTTCATTATATTCCAAAACCAAAAAATAGTGAGCTTTGGCTCCATTGCAAATGATGGAAATTTTGCTATAGTTAAGTATACTAATATAAACTTAAATAATACAAATAAATATAAATATAATTAAATATATATACAAACATATTTATACACATAAAAATAGGCCGACCTGTTAAGCTAAAAAGGCTTCATAGTTCGGGGTGTTTATGTCACACACCCCTTAAAGTTTGGGGTATTTTAATTATTTTTCCCTTATAAATTTGATGGCAGTTACAAGGGAAAACTATCAAATAAGTCCCCGTACTATACCGAAAGAGTCGATTAGGCACTCGTACTTTATAAACACTCAATTAAGTCCTCGAACTATTAAAAAACGTTCAATTAAGCCCTTTTGGTCGGTAAGTAACCGGTTTCCCGGTTAAATGTAACCTGTTTCCCGGCAGCCGCCGTTGCTGGGGTTCAAGCACATCATCGCCGTCGTCTCCGTTTAACCGGGAAACCGGTTACTTACCGACCAAAAGGGCTTAGATGAACGTTTTTTAATAGTTTGAGGACTTAATTGAGTGTTTTGTGAAGTACGAGGGCCTAATCGACTTTTTCGGCATAGTACGGGGGCTTATTAGATAGTTTTCCCCAGTTACTATTATCGTTCTCCCATTTATGTTATTTTGTATATGTGGTTAATAAACATTATATTATATCAAGAAAATATTATACACTAATTAATTACCTCATTGTTCACCAACGCTAAGAGTTTGCCAACTTTTATTCAAATAATATTTTTCTTAATATTATTTAAATCTGTTTGCAGGTAAAGATCTTGAAGCAGGAAGAGACAAGAAGAAGATAAATGATGCAGGACCGACCTTACCAATCTTCCTCAAGGTAAAATACTATTCCTTCCGTCCAAATAATATATAAAGTGTTACTTGGTGAAGGTCCTATTCAATTTTCCCAAAGTGAAAGGGTAAAACGAATGTAATCACATGAAATTAAAAAACGATTCATATTTATGAAATAAGACTTTTTTAGACAAACGTGAGGCTTGAGAAGTTAATTTGGTATTTTAAAAAAGTTCGAGAAATTAAAAGACCACAAAAATGTGTTGGTTTGGAATAATGTGCAGTTTAGTGAGATTAGCTACAAAGTAGTTGTGAAGGGGAAGAGATGTAAAGGGGAAAAGGAGATTTTGAATGGAATAAGCGGTGGAGTAGATCCCGGGGAAGTTTTGGCGCTGATGGGGCCTTCCGGAAGTGGAAAGACTACTCTCCTCACCCTTCTGGGAGGAAGGAATAAAAGAGGGCCAGCACCCGGCGGTTCCATTACTTATAATGACCAACCATATTCCAAGTTACTTAAGAGCAGGTATATATATACTACGTACTTTATAGTAGCTAACTCCTCACTCACTTATTTCTGCTTCCTATTTATTTAACCCTCTCTTTGTTTATACTCCGTAGCATTTAATATTAATGTAATATCGTATTATGTAATGTATTTTCCTCTCTACTTTCTTTCCCTAGTATTCCAGAATCCCAATCTGCCTGACCAGCCCTTAGAGTTCTATAGAACGAATTTTGCCCGGTCTTATATTCTACATTGAACAACTTATTTCTCATGAAAACATATGTCTTCCTCTAAAGACATTTGACATAACAGTATGTGAATGAATGTGATCATGAATATTGCAGGATAGGATTTGTGAGTCAAGATGACATCCTCTTCCCTCACTTAACAGTGCGAGAAACACTGACCTATGCTGCTCGGCTAAGGCTACCCAAGACACTGAGCAGGGAGGAAAAGGAAAGAAGGGCAATGGATGTCATCTTCGAGCTGGGGTTAGAAAGGTACACAGGGTAAACTAAACTAAGTACGTAGCTAGATACTTACTTCAATTCTATATAGCCAGCCAGCAAGCAAGCACTGGTCAGTCTCATCAGAAAGCTAATTAACTAATTAAGGTTATTTGATTCAATTATAGGTGCCAAGACACCATGGTTGGGGGCTCCTCCTTTGTTAGAGGAGTCTCCGGCGGAGAAAGAAAACGTGTTTGCATTGGCAATGAGATTATATTAAATCCCTCCCTTCTCTTCCTGGATGAACCTACATCTGGTTTGGACTCCACAACTGCTTTAAAGATCGTTGACATATTACATGATATAGCTCAGGTATATATTTTCTTTCATAGCCAGAACTAAGGTATATAGTGTTGGACGGTGAAACAATTTCACATTCAAAAGATGAATGTGGAAGAGATGTGTATGTTGCATTGGATGTGTGGTTATACTAGGAAAGACTGCTTGAAAAATGAAAAAATCTGAAAAAAGGTAGGAGTAGCTTACACCGTAACATAAATAATTAAGTACTTTGATGGATGGATGGATGGATGGGTCTTAACATATACTACCTCCGTCCCTTTTGTATTGGGCCGGAAGAGGGTGGCACGATTATTAAGAAAAGTGGGTTTGTGTGGTTGATATTAATTGATAAAGTAAGAATAAAATAAGAATGATTTAGAACCACACAAACTTTACCAAATATGGTATGAGACAATTTTATTAAATTTGAACCAAAAAGTTTGAGCAATCTTTTTTTGTTAAACTTTGAATAAATATAACAGGCAGGAAAAACAGTGATTACCACAATTCATCAGCCATCAAGCAGGTTGTTCCTCAAGTTTGACAAGTTGATTCTTCTTAGCAAAGGAAGCTTGCTTTACTTTGGGAAGGCATCATCTGCAATGGATTATTTCTCATCCATAGGGTGTGCCCCACTCATTGCCATGAATCCAGCAGAATTCCTGCTGGACCTTGCTAATGGAAACGTCAATGATGTCTCCATCCCATCAGAGCTGAATGACAAAGTGCAAATGGGTAATTACATGCGTCAAACGCAAAAAAGAAAGCCATCTCTATCAGTTATGCATGAGGTAAATTATCAATCACTTCTATATCAAAACCATATAGTTGACGCCAATGTTCTAAAAGGCGCTAGGCGCTAGTCGGGCGCCAGCATAGCGCCTAGCGCCTAGGCGGCTAGGCGGGCGCCTAGGCGGGGATTAATCGGAGACATAAAAATTACATTTTTATTTACATTTTTGCATAAATATGATGAATAATGTTGTGTGTGTGTATATATAAATATAGACACACACATTAACATGCATGAATGATAAGAGTTTTCACATTTAATAACATATTATACATACTTACTTCTTAACTTCAAGTAATACTATGTAATAATTATTAATAAATAATAATAACACTTAAGAATATATATATATATATATATATATATATATATATATATAATTTGACGCTAAGCTGTGAATGTGCAGTGTAATTAAAGAGTGTTATTTTCTGTTGTAATATCTGCACCATAAGAGCATCTCCAATGGGAATGTCTACTCTCTTCCACATTCTTACACACGGGTCCCATTTTTTATCTCACAAATTTTATGTGTAGGACCTACATATCTCCACATTTATTTTGTTTTTCATTTTTCTATATCACTTTTAACCCACTTTTCATCCACTTTTACTCCTCGATTCCCGTGTAAAGTCTATTTGTGGACATTGTCATACACATTGTCTACAATTTACTCCTATCTCTCTCTTCCTTTTCATTTTTCATACACACCACTTTCTCCATATTAAATTAAAATAATCATTCTATCTCTATCTCTCTCCTATGCCACGTAGGATAGACTTTACTCCAATCCACTACCCCATTGGAGATGCTCTAAGACACCTGCAAAGACAAAAAAAGAATAGCTCGAGATGCAATGCCTCTGTCCTTGCGAATATTCCCAGTGAGCGGAAAGTTCATAGGTACACTTGCATAGGCGTGAGATTTTTTATGTTGAATTGACTGGTCGAAATCTCATGTGCGTGAGGAATTTCCTTTCCCTTTTCTTTTTATCACTTACAAAAGGGTGTTCCCATCATTTGGGAATAAGGCTTGGATGTTGTTGTTGTACAAAAGGGTGCTCCAATATAAAGTGGGAAAAGTTCCCCCTTAATTAGCATGCAGTGTGGGAATTGGGAAACTTAAAGCAAAGGCAAAGTTTACTCGAAATACTCCTATGCTTCTCCAACAATTTCCACTTTATACCCTGCAAATAATATGGCATTCCCACTTTTCATTCCTAACTTCCCTTTTTCCACGTTATGGACACAATTATGGTTGCTGACCACTTTTGGTTCTGATCACTTATTCGGACAATCTTCGTACAATTTGTGCTTATTTTTTGCTTGAAAGGTTACTAGACAGGACTAAAGGTGACAAGAAACCCATAGCCCTACATCAAAAAGAGAGAAAATGAAATGAAAGCGGACATACCAAGAAAGAATTTTCCAAACAATGAAATGAGTATATTTGCCACCTGTGCATCTCTAATGAGAATTTTAGAAGTCATGAAGAATATCGATAAGAGTAAAGAGGCTCAAGAAAGTAAAAATAAATTTATTAAATACAGAGAAATAAAAAGACAACAAAATAGCTAAAGAAGCTTTCCAAGAGCCAATATGGCACTGTCAAGCAAGATGTTCTTGCCCCAGCAAAAGTGATATTAATCTTGAAACTTTTGCTTCCTCCCTTTTCTAAAGGAGAGACAAATATAATTAAATGCAACCTGTAATTAAAGTAAGAAATAAATTGCATATTTAACAAAGTTTTAATTAAATACCCTTGATTTTACCCTAATAAAAGACCCCATTGCTCGCTAATTGGTTCCCTAAACTATAACCAATGATCCACATTTTCCACTAGGCTTCTAAATTAGTTTCATTTTTCTTCTTTTCTTTCCATAATGATTATCACGCAGTATCTTGTGGAATCTTATGAGACACATATAGCTGAAAGTGAAAAGAAGAAACTTCTTGGCCCTCTACCCATTGATGAAGAGCTGAAGTCCAAAGTGAGTTGCATAAAGAGAGAATGGGGAGCAAGCTGGTGCGAACAATTTTGCATATTGTTTTGGCGAGGACTTAAAGAAAGGAAGCACGACTATTTTAGCTGGTTAAGAATCACTCAAGTCATTGCAACAGCGCTTATATTGGGTATGCTCTGGTGGCAGTCCGGAGGTGATCATAATCCTACTCAATTACAAGATCAGGTACAAAATTAACTTTGAATGATGAAAAGAGAAAACAAGACAACAAATGTTAGACGGGTCATCATGAACTCCCCTCATCACAAAATAATCAAAGTTGCTTCGTGTTCACAAACTAATCAAAGTTGCATCATCACACCCTACTTTGTGTACACGTTTGCAGACAATTGGTGCGCTGGCAATCCTGGCATACAAAACTGGCTGTGGGAATAAATAAGAGTTATATATGCATAGACAGCTCTTGTATATGCCCATTGACATTAATTTTCATGTCAAAATGCTTTAGTCTGAAGAGTTGTTCTAAATCAGATTATGATGTAGCCAGTCTCATACGAGATGCCTCACATTGAGATTGGCCAAAATGCAATACTATAAAGCTTGATTGAGGACAAGGCTAATTCTACCAACATTATATTGAAATTAGCACTAACGATTGATATTTACATGTTTAGATGTCACACTAAAAGTTAACTGCAAAATTCAAATTTAATTTTGATAAAAATTTAATACCTAAACAGAACTGGAGAATAAAAATAGTTGGTTGACCGCAAAATAGTGAATGAATTAGTAATTTCATCTTCTGAAATATTACATTTTTCTCCATCCCACACTAGTTTATTCCAAGAATTAATTGCATATATTACAATTTGTCTTATCCCACGAAAAAACTGTAGAAATCCTGATATAAGAACCACTACAATGAAGAATGGCGCTCAACCTTTGCAGGCAGGACTGCTCTTCTTCATTGCTGTGTTTTGGGGATTTTTTCCAGTCTTCACAGCAATATTCACATTTCCTCAGGAAAGAGCAATGCTAAACAAAGAGAGAGCAGCTGATATGTACCGATTAAGTGCATATTTCGTGGCCCGGACAACCAGTGATCTGCCACTTGACCTATTCCTTCCATTACTCTTTATTGTTGTTGTGTATTTGATGGCAGGCTTGAAAAGTGATGCTGCTTCCTTCTTCCTAACAGTGCTTACTGTTTTCCTATGTATTGTGGCAGCCCAGGTATACCCACAGCTCTTCTGCAAATACAACACGTATTTCAATTCTTGGACTCAACTACCTTGGTTTTATCTCTATCCACTATTCCTTCTAATTTTACTAGGGGTATGTTTGGGTCCCACAAAATTGCTAGGTAAAGGAAAACAGATACGTACGTAGTAAGGGAAAGGATAATGAATTAACAAGGAGGGGTGCAAATGACTCGAGTCCCAATCCCGCTAGTCTCCAGCTCGAAATAGGTTGTATTGGCTTGGCTCGAGCTCGGCTCGAACGAGCCTAAACAATCTGGGCTCGAGCTCGACTCACAATTCACAAATATTGAGTATATTACTCCATTTGGCTTGATTCAGCTCGATAATTTTGGTTCGTCAACTCAAAAGTTACAAGTTCGGTTAGCTCGAAAGTTTGGATATAAACTCGAACTCATGTATGAAACAATCTTTAAATATTTGTGCCTAACATTTGCAAATTGCAAATTTCATGCCTAACAACTCAAAGTAAAGTAAATGTTGTCCAAATCAAAAAAATAAGGTCAAACCATGAAGATTAAACTGAAACTAGAGTTACGCAAACGAAATAAACAACATATAATCCTAAGTTCAAGTCTCTACCAGTTGTACTTCTAATATAAATCAAAAGTGGTCAAATTATTAGAAATAGTGGAAGAAACTTCGATTATTTTTTGTTAAATTACTTTAAGTAATAATATCTCCCCGTCCTCATATACATTTATCAATCGGTATATAATATTATTTATACTAATATATTATATATTAATTTATATTGTATATTAATATATTATAATACCTCCGTTCTTAAATAAATGCAACATCTGAAATTTTACACTATTCACATGTTCTACTTTGACTACATTTTATTTATTCATGTATTAATATATGTTTTTGAAAAATATATTATTAAATCTGTCTCATTGTAAATTTTCAAAAACTGATTTTTTTTAAATTTTTTACTGATATAGAATTATATATATTAATGGTCAAAGTTGTGTCTCGACAAGTGTGAAATGTTGACTGTTGCACTTATTTAAGAATGGAGGAAGTATATACTAATATATATTATATATTAATTTATAATGTATATTAATATTATATATATACATATTAATATAAATATACACACATAAAACTAGGCTCACGAGCCGGCTCGCTAGCTAGCAAGCCTAAAATTAGTAGGCTCGTTTATGACTCGACTGCTTAACAAGCCGGCTCGAGCTCGGCTCGAGCTCGAGTTTGACCGAACTCGATTCGAGCTTTGACCGAGTGGCTCACGAGTGGCTCACGAGCGGTTCAGCTCATTGCATCCCTAATAAAAATTACTCCTCCATCCCTAATTTTACGGCACGGGGATTAAGATAATGAGTATTGTATCGCGGAGAGTTGTGTAAAAAAGAGAGAAATGTGTAGAAATATGAAAGAATTGCTCTGAAACACAAAATTTTTATCAAAAGGAAAATTGGAAATTTATTTTGGGACGCCCAAAAAAAAGTTTGAAAGTTTTATCATGGACGGAGGGGGAGTATGATTCATTATCCTAAAAATTTTCACATGCTTAAATTTGGAAGTGTTCATTCAATTGAATAAATAAATTATGAACCCTTTCGGCAACCCTTGTACTCAGTTTATCAATCCTATTAGTCAATTTTCTTATCAAATATGAAACTTTTGATTGCACATGCTGAATTGTGCAATAATCACCCGTAAGTTCGGAGTTACAAAATGCAAATTCATCTTATCCGTCCAATATTATACAATCAATGGTAGGATTTGTTAGGAGTTGTTTTGAACACTAATAATGAGCCGTATGGTAGGGGAGTTTTTTAAGGAGTTTTTTTAGGATTCTAACCTCTACATTGAAACCATCTACACCCTTATTTCATTCATATGGATGGCCTAGATTAATTTGCAAGATTACTTTGTATGTGATCCTAAATCTATATACTCCGTGTATATAATATATATATATATATATATACACGTATATATATATATATATACATATACATATATATATATATACATATACATATATATATATATACATATACATATATATATACATATACATATATATATATATACAGAAAAGATCAGGTCCCTCCGGAGGGACGGGAGGGACCGTCCGGCCAAGACCATCAGAGGCCCTTCCCGGTGGAATTTTTTGATGAAATTTTTTGAGCATGTTCCTCGTCAAGTCTAGTTTATCCACACCAAATTTCAGCTAAAAATTCAACCGGGAAGGCACTCAAATGATTTTTGGAAGATAACTGCGTTTTATATGTATATAAACTGCGCAGTTAACTTCCAAAAATCATTTGACTGCCTTCCCGATTGAATTTTTAGCTGAAATTTAGTATGGATAAACTAGACTTCATAAAGAACATGCTCAAAAAATTTCAGCAAAAAATTCCACCGGGAAGGACCTCAAATGGCGACGGCCGGACGGCGGGTCCTGTCCCTCCGGCTGGACAGGATCATGACTCTCTCTCTCTCTCCCTATATATATATATATATATATATATATATATATATATATATATATATATATATATATATATATATATATATATATATATACATATACATACACACACATGTTGCATGCATCATTAATTGAAGGATAGTTTTAGTGCACCGATTAATGTGTCGTTATGTAAGTGAGAGGTGATCAAATCTTGGGAGCTCCTTTTTGTCATAGGGGAAGGATTGGGGATGGACCGGGACCGGGCCGGGCGCCGGGCCAAGACTGGGCAGGATCGGGACCAAAAATTTTAGGCCAGGTACCGGCCGGGTATGTACCGGGACCGGGTCAGGCCTAAACAGTACCGGGACGGGACGGGTTTGGGCACAAAAAAAAAATAGTGCAATCGGACCCGGGCCCGGCCGGATCGGGCCTAAAATAACGAGCCCGAAGCCCGCTCTTATAGTCACCGGGCCGAGCCTCGGGCCTAAAAAAGACCGGGACGGGACGGGACGGGACTAAATAGTAACGGGACCGGACCGGGCCCGGGTTCATCCTAGGAAGGATTGCCCTCAATACATTCAACTCTTCCTAGATCCTCACCTTGCCGGATGCATTTTTTATACTCTGTATATCATTGATTAAATAAATTAATCAATCAATCAAAAACCAATAACATGTGCGTGAAGAAATGAATCTGTTCAATTTGAGCGTCTTGTTTTCTCCCAAATTTTGCTTCCCATTTTGACTTAGCGCAGTAGTTGAGAAGCTCCAAACGGACGCTTAGAAATTTTAGGTTCATTTGCTTAAAAGTATATGGGGTTACTTGCATACAGGGACTAGGACTAGCTATTGGGGCCACCCTAATGGATCTGAAGAGGGCAACAACTCTTGCTTCAGTTACTGTGATGACCTTTATGTTGGCTGGTGGATATTTTATACAGGTTTACATCCAAATTATGCTCCCAAGTTCAACACCCCACCTAGTTATACAACAAAATTTTATAGTCCAATTTATATCCTTCTATCGTGCCGTCCGGTCGGTGTTGGGGGCCCTCAGGGATGGGGTGTCATCCTTTTTTTTTATACAACAAAATTTTAGGAGAATGAAAGTCTTTTTTACACCAAAAAAACAAGTCTGAACCACAAGATACTCATGTGCCAAAAACAGCATAGTCAGAAAAAAAAATTAACAAAAGAATTTGTAGGGAAAGGAATACTATATTGGCCTGTAAGCAAACGTGCGTGGTAATAGGTTGGTGTTAATTGTGCAGAGGGTACCGAAATTCATAGCATGGCTGCGGTATCTGTCCTTCAACTATCACACATTCAAACTTCTGCTAAAGGTTCAATATGGAGGCATAACAAATTCAGTGAATGGGATCAAAATAGACAAGGGATTCAAAGAAGTAAGTGCACTGGCAGCTATGGTCGTTTGTTATCGGCTTTTGGCGTACATATCTTTGAGAAGAATGAAGCTTCATTCTGTTGATGCTTAGACCATTCACACTTCTCCATCTCTTTGGAGACAGATCAGACAAGTTAACTTTTCCTATTGCTGTTATTTATGAAACATTCAAGGCCTCACCTCTTTGTCCAGACAACCAAAATATTGTATTTTTTTTATAGAGGGCCACACAAACAACAAGCTTTTTTATTCAGGTTACTGTCCGGATTCAACTAAATATATAGTTTAATTTCTTTATCTTATTTTTATTTAATTAGTTTTAACATAACAACGCTTATAGGAGAGTTAGTAGTAGGCATGCATGTGTAATGTGTATATTATGTTTATTAAGAGAGTGAGCCTGACAACGCCCGAGGCCGAGATCGAATAAATGAAAGGAAGGAGATGAGATGTCTCAGCTCTATGATTTTGAATCAAACTGAAAGAATGAAACAAAAGCTTAATTCGGAAATAACCCGATGCTTGACACACAAAAATTCCAAGAAACCAACCGATGACCCCTATATATGGCTACCGGTGGGTTCAGTTGTTTGGTTTTGGCCCAAAACTAGATACCCAACCAGAGTAAACAGTTTGATTCTGTTATTTCTTTCAAAACATGCAACCAATTTGACTGTGTTATAATTCTAGGTTTAAACGAGGAGTTATACTATCAAAGCGCATGAATTCAACAAGGAACAGATCTAATTTAATTCAAACATGAAGAATAATATTGATGAACTGAGAGAATTGTGAGAAAGAAATGTTCATAACCAAGCTAGTTAGCGGTTAATCACGAATGAAGCCAGCATTTAATATCAGTGGTGTCAATAAAGTAAGGTAATATTATATACTACCTCCGTTCTTAAATAAATGCAAAACACTTTGACTTTTATACTATTCACATGTTCTACTTTGACTACGTTTTATTTATTAATATAATAAATTTTTTTATGAACAAAATATTGTTAAACTTGTCTCATTGTAAATTTTCATAATCTATTTTTTTTTTTTAATTTTTTACTAATACAAAATCATATATATTAATGGTCAAAGTTGTGTCTTGGCAAGTGTGAAATGTTGACCGTTGCATTTATTTAAGAACGGAAGAAGTATAAATGTATAAATATATAAAGCTAAATAAATCAATAAAAAAATATATAAAGCTAAATAGTAAATATTGTCATTTATAAAATTATAGTGCTAGTTCACAATTGTTCGCATAGTGTTTTCATATTTCAAAAATGTTGTACAATTTTTTCATTGTCAACACTTTCAAAAAGATCTTTTTCAACAAAAGTAACTAAGGAGTCATTCTTCAAAGTGTCCCCATTCGATTGTGCAATATGTTCTTCACAGTTTTCATTACTACAAAGCTTTTTCCTCACTTGTGGTAGCCACCAGAAAACTTGAAGCTATTTTACAAGTGAAAATACTAATACCCCGGAGATAATATGGCCTTTTTATTTGAATATTACCAATCGAAAGACAAAAGACATCCGTATATACATATTTAACGTTTTCCACAAAAGTGATCAAGTTTACGGAGTATCATTTAAACGAGTACTAGTTTATTAATTTTATACGGAGTTTACTTTTATTGTTTCAAAGTAAAATTTTCATAACATCCATTGACCCACTGCCGGTCAGCCCCCGCCACCGGGCATCCGCCTCTACCACCAGTGCTCCGCTCCCGCCGTCAGTGCTCCACCCCGGCGGCGGTGATAGTGACTACCAAGAAATTTAATACACCGCCAACACCGTTGCCGCCGCTTCCTGCACCGCCTCCTTCACCAGTCACTAATCCACAATGACTCCGGTTACAGTGACTCCGGTTACAGTGACTCTGATTGCAGTGACTCTGTCACAGTGACACCGCCATAGTGACTCCGCCAGTAGTGACACCGGCACAGTGACTCCGCCCGCACCGGCGCAGTGACTCCGCCCGCAGTGACACCGGCGTAGTGACTCCACCTGCAGTGACACCGCCATAGTGACACCGTCACCGTGGCAGCCGACATTGACACCGCTTTCGGAGTGACACCCCGTCGGCACCGTCATACCTCCGACACTATCAAACCGCCTACTGCTCCTTCCAATCCCCAATCGTCACCCGCAGGCCGCCACAATTACTATACAATTATCAACCAATCTGCCGCCTGCAACCATGCCACCACTGCCACTAGGCTGGCACGGCCGTTACCCAATACACCACTGATGCCCCCAATACCAACTCCTTAGCCCCAGCCCATGTCCCACCCCCATCCCCACCCCCTATCCCACCCCCCATTCAAGCTCTGAAAAGTCCAAACCCAATCAACCTCTCCCCAGCCTCACCTCCGACAACCCAGCCCCGCCTCTGTCCAACACCCAGCCCACTCCCCTAACTCCAACTCCGAATTGCCAACCCTGTGCCACTCGCATCAGCCCAACGGCCCCAACCAACCACCGTGCTACCTCGCCCCAGTCTAGCCCTCTCTGACTCAACAACCACTAGATCTGAAATAGGTCGGCGGAATAAATTGATGAGATGATGATTCACAACGAAGAAGGCAGTGCGGTGCGAAGTAGAAGGAGATTCACCTTAGCCCCAAATAGGGCGGCGGACCTTGGCAGCCGGTAGAGGCGAGAAAGAAGAGACGATCGGTATGCTGCTGGTGGTCTCCATCTTCTTCGATGGCGTCGCACTGGTGGTCTCTGTTCGCTTCGATGCGTCGCTACGGCGGTGGATTCATGATAGATGGTGAAGATGAGAAACAGGGACGGTGAATAGGAGAGAAGGAAGAAACGCGCAGTCACATTAGAAGGGAAAGAAGATAAGGTAGCGGAAAACTTAAATGGATACATTTTTGTCATAATCAGATTTACTCATATTTGTGTCTACACAAACTGCTGGGGTTATATCAGCGCCATTTTTTCAGATAATATCTCTTGGTTGTCTCCGCCAATTTTTCAGAAAGAGTACCAAGTTCTATAATATTTATCAATGTTTGCGAGTCATTTGGAGTAGACAAGCGTCCATACAGCAGGAGAGCCAATTCTAGAAAAGAATGGACTGCTAACCTGGAGTGACTTTCGATTTGCCGAGAATGATAGGGAGTATTTTTATTACACAAAAATTAAAATTGAATAAAATAGTCGTATGATAGGTAGTATAATTATAATAATCACGTGATTACAAAAATGAAGATGACGATAATGATAATAATTAATTATAAAGTAATAATAATAATAATTAGTGGTTGTTTACTTGTTTAGCGTATTTAGAATAATAATTATATAAATGAAAACAAAGTTGGATTATTTGGATAGTTTAACAACTGACCATAGCTATAGAGACCGTTTGGCAACACTGTTTTTTGACTTATCAGGTTTATCAGCCAACTTTGGCACCAAACACGTGATTTTTGCTTTCGCGCTGAATTGTGTAATAGGCAGAAAAAGTAAGTTTGAAGTTACTTTTCTGGATGTATTGGCTGAAGTTACTATAGATGATCATTTTAGCTATTTTTTACATATATATATTTTCTTTATTTTATTAATAAAATATATTTTTAAAAAAAAAATTGCTTCCATCAGCATAATCAGCCAATGCAGTCACTTCAACCAGAACTTCAGAAATTTCAGCAGAATCAGCCAAAACAGCCGATTTTCATGCTACCAAACGGACTAATAATCTGTACGAATTTACGAAGTCAACCATTGGAAAGTTGAAAACTCTTACGCTTGAGTTTGTCCCACATAGGGATGGACTGGTTCCGGTCGGCCCGTCCCAGGAACCGGGCCTAGGACTGGCCCGGGATGTTAGAGCGGTGCGGTTCCGGGTCTACCCTTCCTTTGGAACCGACCGGGCCGGGGCCGGTTCGGGCTTTTTTTTGTTTTTTCAATTTTTTTTATTTTTCCCGGATTGGGCTGAGTGTTTTGAGGGGGTTTGGGGGGTGGGGGTGAGGGGGGGTTGGGGGTTAATTAGAAAAGCAAATATATATATATATATATATATATATATATATATATATATATATAGAATGGAGATCAAATACAAAGCCTTCTTAATTTACAAAGTACAAACTCATCTTGACCGTCCGATGAGTTGATCCAAAGGACATAAAGGCAAGGTGGCATTTTTGTAATAAAACCCAACTTTTTAGGGTGCAACTCGTTGCACCTTAATGTGCAACTGTTATTTTTATGACTTTATAATGTGCAATACTTTGAACCTCAATATGCAATGCAAATAACGTCAAGGTGCATCGTACAAATATTTGCACAATAAGCACACTTTGTACTTGATCTTTCCCCTATATATATATATATATATATATATATATATATATATATATATATATATATATATATATATATATATATATATATATATATATATATATATATATATGTTTAGGTTCAAATGAGAAAAACATCTTAGGAGAGAAATGAGAAAGATTCTCCACCATTAGATCAAACTATAATTATAGATGTTAGAACAAATTTAATATAACACGATCAAGGAGTTGTTTGTAAATTGATATACTCATTTAATATGTGCGGCTTTTTTGGTCATATGCATGTTCCGTTACATTCTTTGTTTATAGTAGCAAACACCAACTTTCTACTTAGTGGGTGTTTTATTATAATACGGAGTATAATAATATACCCATTTTTATTTTTTTCTTAATTTCAGTATAATTTTTTATTTCATCCAGGTTTTTACATTTTTATTGAATTATACGTGCACGTATAAAAATAATGTGCACCTCTTATAAGATAAAGTGCACGTTTACATGAACAAAAATGCACATGAAATTCATAAACTTTTTTCGTTACTTATATATGTAGAAGGTTAGTTGATACACTTATGTGATTTTATGATGCAATTTTATATTAGGCACCTTAAAAGTGTGAAAAACTTATAAAGTGCATTATAATTGAATTACATGTGCATCTAATTTTGTTGCACTAATTCCGCTTATCCATTGCATAATATTTTAACAAAATGTGCATACGATTGTTCTACTCTCCATTACATATTATAATTAAGTTCAAATTTAGTGCACTACCAATACAAAATTATTGCTCACTTGTAAATTATAATAAATAAATCTAGAATGAAAGTGGATGATAAAGTTTTTAATTAGGTAAGTTGCATAAAAGACCCTTATACGACAGTTTGGGGGTGTTTGGTTAAGAGCCAATCAGCCATTTTTTGGCTGATTTGACTAATATTTGGCGTTTTGACCAGATTAATCAACTAATAAAATGTTTGGTTAATTAGCTTTTTCATTTTGGCTTTTTATTCCAAACAGCCAAATTCTCAAAAGCTATTGAAAGTGGCGTTTTAGGGTTGGCCGTTTCTCATCTTTTCCTATTTTCCTTTATTACCCACGTCCCTTCTTTCCCGTACCTGCTTTGGCCAACACAACAATGAGAAAGAGGAAAGATGCAAAACCAAGTTCCAGCTTTAACGTGTCACTTTTGCCAAAAAAAAAAGCTTTAACGTGTCACCGAAGAGAAAAACAAGCAAGCTTGCATGAAATAAATTTTTCTTTTTTACCTTTTCTTCATTTAGATTTGTCCTGTGGCACGGAAAGTCCTCTAAGGAAAATGTACAGAGAGTTTTGTTATAAAATACACTACAGAATTTTTTATGTTAAAATAATAATAATAATAATAATAATAATGTTAATAATAATAATAATAAACAATTGATGTAAAGTAAATTTTACATTTTTGAATCATAAAAACGGTTTAGTTAATTACATTAACTAAAAAATCAATTGATGTCCTTAATAGTCATTTAACAAGATATCAGCTGATTGTAAATAGCCGTTTAACCAAACACTGTTTTACTAACTGCTAACACTATCAGCTAATCAAAACAGCCAACAGAATCCGTTATTATGAATCAGCCAACAAAATCGGCCAACAGCTAACAGCCAACAGCCAATTGCCAAACACCCCCTTTATGTTTACGTCTAGATAATTTTCAATTAGGTAAGTTGCACATTTTCAATTGATAACCTAGATAATTTACATTTTAAAGACTCTACGTGAATAAAAGTATGAATAGCAATGCACGTATTTTTACTCTAATACCCTTGTACGAGTTGAGCTTTTAAGTTTCATTTAATATCATTTATTACTTTCCTTTAAAATAGCGATCATCATGCTAATTGTATGAAAAACGTTGACCATCACATTAGTAATCTGAATGGCTGGATTTTATTCTCATTTCTCTCCTGGGACTTCATTCTCACCGGAACCATCCCCTATATATATATATATATATATATATATATATATATATATATATATATATATATATATATGAGGACTGCTCAGGTCCCTCCGGAGGGACGGGAGGGACCGTCCGAACTTTACTGTTTGGGGCGGTTCCCGGTGGAATTTTTTGATGAAATTTTTTGAGCATGTTCCTCATCAAGTCTAGTTTGTCCATACCAAATTTCAGCTCAAAATTCGACCGGGAAGGCAGTCAAATAAATTCTTGAAACTTACTGCACTTTATATATGCGCAGAATGTGCAGTAAGCTTCAAGAATTTATTTGACTGACTTCCCGGTCGAATTTTGAGCTGAAATTTGGTATGGACAAACTAGACTTGCTGAGGAACATGTTCAAAAAATTTCATCAAAAAATTCCACCGGGAACCGCCCCAAACAGTAAAGTTCGGACGGTCCCTTCCGTCCCTCCGAAGGGACCTGATCTTTTCTGTATGTATGTATATATATATATATATATATATATATATATATATATATATATATATATATATGAACCGGCCCGGACTCGGTTGCATCCCGGGCCGGTTCCGGGCCCGCCCCAAAAAATAAAAGCCCGGTTTGGACCGGTCCATGCCTAGTCCCACACTAGTGGTGGACCGGTTCAGGGCCGACCGGCCCGTGGCCCGGCACTGTTTGGAACCAGCCCGGCCCGGCCCGAAGGTTATACAGGGCGGGCTCGGGTCATCAAAAATAGGAACCGGTCGGGCCGGGCGGGGCCCGGTTCGGGCCTTTTTTTTTCAATTTTTTTTGTTTTTCCCTTGTTGGGCTGGGTGTTTTGGGGGGGTTTGGGGGGGGGGGGGGGGGTTAATTAGAAAAACCAAAAACAGATAAATTGAAGAAGCCCGGGGACCGGCCCGGACCCGGTGGAAACCCGGGCCAGTTCCGAGCCCGAAGCCAAACCCAAAAAGCCCGCCCAGGACCGGCCCAGAGCCCGACCCAAGACCGGTCCATGACTAGTCCCACACCAGTGGAAAGATGAGAATTCCTCTTTACAACGCTTTACCAGTGGCTATTGGTGTGCCAAAATTGGGGGTTCCAGAAGACTCAAACATCTTCTGCATCACCTAGTGGGTGTTAGGGGTGGACTCGGGCCGGGCGGCCGGACCCGAAACCGGCCCGGTTACTGTTTGGCCCGGCCCGGGTGATGAGCGGTCCGGGCTCGGGCCCTGCTTTAGGTGAACCGGCCCGGGCCAGATTTTAATTTTTTTTTTTTTAAATTTTTTTAAGTCTTGGTTTGGATTAGGTATTTTGGGCCATTTGAGGTGGTTTGGGGTGGTTTGGGTTGAGGGGGAGGGGGTTAAATAGAACCAAAATAAAAAAAAAATGGACCGGTTTGGCCCGACCCGGCCCGGTTTGGCCCGGAACCGGAACCGGCCACCGGCGGTTCGGGCTCGGGCCCCAGTTTTCTGGCCCGAGGCCCGGCCCGGGTCCACCCCTAGTGGGTGTGCGAGGCGTTTGGTTGGCGCCTCACACCGACACCGACTTCCTGCCTTTGGGCCTTTTGAAGCCTTTTAGAACACTGGTTACCATATAAAATTTCCATTCTAAAAGGTGGGAACCGAAGCAGTGGCTAATGAAAAAATGATTACGACGATTGATTTGCTTATATACGGTTATACACAGATGATAGTAGAAAGTAGAAACCACGAAACTGTGAAATAAAACCTTGCAGGAAGCTAAGCTACACGAGGTTGCAAATTTGACTTGATGACATCACTAGTGTTGAATAACAACAATTTTATTAATATTGCATAATAACTTGATGTTTACATCCTTCATGGATACATGGTCTCTATATAGGTACATAAAAACCCTTCACCTACATTTGTGACCCTTAAGAGTACCTAGCTCTTCACTTATACCCCAGATTGTGAAGCGATAAATTCTTTATGCGAGTATTTTAACAACTACTTTCCCTGAAGGTCAATATATATAATGATGCTCCAGGATCTCTTGCCACTTGCAAGTGAAAAGAGATTAACAACCTTCTGTTGTAAATTTGTTGCAGATTTCCAGATATAAATGATATGTACTTATACTCATACATGTGTGTCAAGCAAATGTTCTTAGCCAACCAAGTAGCCGAAGAAGAGCAGTGTCCAGCACAGGGGATTTCCTCTCAATTCCTATGCCAGTAAAGAAGATGATTTCCGGTCAAAGTAAAGTAGTAGTCTTATACTCCTATGCAATACGCCAAGATTCTAATTTACACAAATCATACTGAATACATCGATTCTAAAGAATAAACGGAAAACTTCATATGGTCATTGTAGGGTATGTGGTAATGCTAGGCAAGGGATAAAAGGCAAGGGGAGTAATTTTCTTACTGGGAAATTCCCGGAAATATGGGTAAAAGCAATGTAAAATTCGTAAATAGGAGTGTTGTTTTTCCCGAAAACAAGAGTAAATTACTACTCCGTATCATCCTAAAATCATACTACAATAGCAGTATTTTCCCCTCATGGGGGTAATTACTCCTTTTTAGGGGGGAAATAGTACTCCTATTTTCGAATTTCAAGTTGTTTTACTTAATTTATGGCAATTTTTGCTTTCTTATTTCTGGTTTTACCTTGGAAAATGCAAAATGAAATAACTAGCCTTTTGTTTCATGTTACACGGTTGCACCTTTTTAAATTTCTTACTCGTCACATAATGACATAGACAAATAAAATGAGTAAACAAATCTTTAAGATCAATTAAAGTTATTGTTTATTTATCCCCCATATTTTTTTCCCTAGTGTTTCATTTATGCTTTGATTCCTAGTTTTTTCCCGAGTATTTTACAGGTTCCAAAGCTGTGGGGTGATCTCTTATCATCTTTTCCCCTCATCTTCTTTTTCTTATTTTTTCTTATCCTTTTATCTATACATGTAAATACTCTTTTTATCCCTTTTATTCTATCTTTTTTATGTATATCCATCTCTTTTATACTACTCCGTATCTTTTTATCTTTCTTTTCTTTCTTTTTCTTTTGGTGGTGATATCATGTATCAATTCATGTTAACCGACTCCAAAATCTTTTGGGACTAAGGCTTGGATGTTATTGTTGTTTTTTATTTTACAGGTTCCAAACGCACCATTAAAGCTTAGAGGCTGTGATGATAAATGTAGTACACATCAAGTAAAGCAAACTGGTTAAAATTGGGTATGGAGAATGTTTACCTAAGTCAGCAGCAACACGATGAGCACACATTACTCCAGAAAAGGCCACAGCTATGACACCTTGACCTGGAAAACAACTATCCCCAACACAATAGAGTCCATGTACAGCCTGGAACCTCAGACACAAACCAAGATAATTAAGGGCAAATCTGGTATTCTGTTTTACCAACACAAACAAGTGCATATACACTAAGGATGTCTTTGAAACTCGAATTATCCTAGCATGAAAATAAGTACACCGCATAAAATAGTTACAAGAGAAATTTCTATAGCACAACAACCAAGCCTTATTCCCAAAAGATTTTGGGGTCGGATAACATGAATCGGTCAACGATATCAGAGCCAAAAATAGAAGAAAAATAAGAAGAGTAAATAGATAAAGTGAGATAAAATGGATGAGATAAAGATAAATATAAGATAAAAATAGCATAAGAATATATGAAAGATAAAAGATAAAAGAGCATAAGAAAGAAAAAATAACATAAGAACATATAAAGATTAAGAAGATAAATGATAAAAGAAAAAACAAAGAGAAAAGAGATCAATCGACCACACGAATATGCGCTCTCCATTTTGCTCTCTCCAAAGTCATACTTTCATCCAACCCAAGAAGAAGCAAATCCGTTCTAATTCCTCTAATCCAAATCTGTTTGGGTGTTCCTCTACCTCTCCTCCCCGCTTCTTCTCCCCACATCTCAAGTCGTCTAACAGGTGCATCACTCGGTCTTCTGTGCACATGACCAAACCACCGCAATCGAGACTCATGTATCTTATATTCTATAAGTGTTAGTCCCACTTTTTGTCTGATTATCGCATTCCTCAAACGGTCTTTTCTGGTATGTCCACACATCCAACGCAACTTACGCATTCATGTCACACTCATCTTTTGATACTGACATTGTTTCACCGTTGAAAACTTTACGCCACACATTAATGCAGGCTTAATTATTGTCCGCTAAATTTTGCCTTAAGTCTAGTGGGCACACCTCGGCTAGAAGAGAAAATTTCTAAAGGAAAGAAAATTTGAGGAGAAAATGGTATAAATTCAAGGCTAAAGGGTCAAATAGGCCCTTGAACTAATTTCAAAAGTGCAAATCACCTCTTATATAGGAGGCTCTGTCCGGCCATCGCTATTTGGGGCGGTTCCCGATGGAATTTTTTGAACATCTTCTTCATTAAGTCTAGTTTACCCATACAAAATTTCAAATAAAAATTCAACCGGGAAGACAATCAAATGATTTTCTGAAACTTGGTATGAGTAAACTAGACTTAATGAAGAAGTTGCTCAAAAAAATTCATCAAAAAATTCCACCGGGAACCACCCCAAATGGTGGCGGCCGGACAGAGCCTCCTATATAAGGGGTGATTTGCACCTTTTAAGTTAGTTCGAGGGCCTATTTGACCATTTAGCCTCATCATCATCATTACCCCATTGCACCTACGGTGGGGTAAGGGGGGTCGGATGTACGCAGTCTCTCGAAGTCATTTTATATACTTCCCCGTCCCTTAAAACTTTACCAACTTTACCTTTTTTGTTGTCCTACTAATTTTGACACTTTAATTCTCCGTGTTAGTCAAACTTGACCAAGTTTTAAAGGGACGGAGGGAATATGTGTGTGTGCTCGCGCATGTTATTTTATGTTATACACACACACATACATATTTGCTATATAAAGATCAAGAAATCTGAATATATATAAAATCCGAAACACTTTAATCATATTTGATTTTCTTTTGAATGTTACAAGTAAAACCAACAACAACATCCAAGCATTAGTCTCAAAAGATTTTGGATTCAACTGACATGAATCAATACATGATATTGGAACAAAAGGAAAACAAAATAAAAAAGGTAAAAGGATAAAGTGTGATACAACAAAATACAAGCCTTAGTCCCAAAAGATTTTGGGGTAAGGAATGATAAAATGATAAAAAAGATGAGATAAAGATAAAGATAAATATAAGATAAACACAAAAATGATACGATAAAAAGGATAAAAAGAATATATATATATATATATATATATATATATATATATATTGTTTTTAAAAAAAAATGATGATAAGAGATTTACAAGTAAAACCAAGCATAAAAAAACATCATTTCCCTGCAATTTTGGCCTTTCGAGGTAACATAGCCGAAAGAACAAGTAACTTACAGTTGTGTTAAATGGCATTCCTAATAAACCCTTTGGAATCCCATGTGGCATTGGTCCATACGTTCCACTATCACGCGCAAGGTATCGTCGATGTGTCTTTGGTGTACCCACCTATGATAATAGAAAGCATTAAAAAAACATAAAAGGTTTTTCAGTACTTCAGGTTTCCTTCTGCTTTATTAACTAAAATGGGAACTCAGAATAAATTATTTAGGAATTCTTCCCCCATCTTAAGAAGGTAATGCCGCAAAAAAAAGGTAACGACTACCGAGCATAAAGAAAGAACATGAGCGTATGTACAAAATGAATTTTGAATTAACTCTCCCATTACTCTTCCTTCTCATGTTAGTGAAATCATTAACCAAACCTCCATAAAAACAATATATGATTTGAGTCCTGGAAGTAGCGTCTTTTCAAGTCTGTTTATGATTTTATCAGCCACAAGCTTCTTCTTTGCATTATAACTGTTTTGAGAAAGCCCCTAATGAATAAACAACCTCTTCTTATTAATCAAAAGAAGAAAATAGCTTGCAGGGTATGAATTCAACAACAAACTAATTAAAAAGATACCTCCCAATCATCTATGCTTGATGTTGTAAATATATGAAGAATATGGCATCCTTCTGGTGCCAATGACGGATCAAGAACAGTTGGAATACTTAAAAATATACTTCCATAAGGCTTTTCTAAATTTTCCCAATCATCCTGTGGAATCCAGACCCTAGGAAAATTAACCAAACCAAGAGACATAACCAAATATTCTAATCCGTACTAAATGTCCTTAGTACGCAGTACCTCGAGGATAAAATGGTGGCAATCTGTGTTGGCTGGTAGAGCCTCTGCCTTAACCCCCAGGTGAATAGAAAGAAAAGATGGCGCCTTAACATATGTCTTCTGGAACCTCTCTTCTTCCTTGGGCAGATAATCTGCCTTCAAAAGCTTCCCTACAATTTAAAAGCATACATCATTAAATGCTTTGTAGAAAATGTTACATTATTGTAGAAAATGTTACATGATTTAATTTGGTGTACATACTTAGCCGATTAGATTAGAATAGAAGTTGTTATTAAGAGATAAGCTTGTAGTTATCAAGATCCTATTTTTTAGGATCTACACTAGCTGATTAGTTACCCCGTTTGGTCCGAGCAATGGAGGACTTCAGCGATATGATGCGGCCGCGAGATGTATTGGCGTAGGTGAGAATCAGCTTGTCCCACGCACTTTTGGCCGTAGTAGCCGACGAGATGAGTGGTTGAATAGTGTCGGAGCAACTTCCGATAAGGGCACTGATGATAGTGCGGTCTTGCCGATACCAAATGGCATAACAAGGATTGAGCTGGGTTTTGGCAGTATCTAGATATTTCTCCGGGGCAGTGAGAGTGACATCGACGTAGCCTTCAAGACCGAGGCCAACAAGAGCGGAATGCACTTGACAAACCCATCATCCTCACTCCCAAATTAGCCAAATGACAAACTACCAGACCTCGGTTAATTCATCTATGCTCATTACTGGACATAGATTGAATGGAACTAATTATCTAGAATGGTCACAATCTGTCAAACTGGCAATTGATGGAAGGGGAAAGCTGGGATACATAACGGGTGAAATAAAGGAGAAGAAAAGTGGAGATGATGGCTACAGTGTCTGGAGGTCAGAAAACTCTTTGGTAACAGCCTGGCTTCTCAGTTCAATGGATGCATCAATCGCCAAAGCTCACATGTTCATGAAAACTGCAAAAGAGGTATGGGATTCCATTAAAGAAACTTATTCAGATCTTGAGAACTCTTCTCAGATTTATGAGTTAAAAACAAAGTTTGTGACAGTCCAAACAAGGAAGTAGAGATGTCATCTCATACTATAATGAGATGGTATCCCTATGGCAAGAGTTGGACCAATGCTATGATGCTGAAGAGTGGGAGAGTGTCAAGGATCTGACAAGACACAAGAAGAGGGAGGAAAATGATAGAGTCTATATGTTCCTAGCAGGAATTAATAGAGACCTGGATGAAGTTAAGGGAAGAATACTTGGAAAAAAAACCTCTCCCTTCAATCAGGGAGGTATTTTCTGAGATCAGGATAGAAGATAGTAGGAAGAAAGTCATGTACAATACTCCAGCACAGGTTGATGAACCTGGAGACTCTTCAGCAATGGTGACCAAAAGTGAAGAAAATAAAAAAACCTGGTGTGACCACTGCAAGAAACTATGGCACACTAGGGATACTTGCTGGAAATTACATGGGAAGCCACCAGGAGGAGCAGGGAAGAAAAATTTTGACAAGGCTCTACATACAACTATGGCTGAGACTCAACAAGAACCACCTCAACTTCACACAGCCTTCCTTCACAAAGGAGCAGATAGAGCAACTCCTTAACCTTCTCAATACTCAGAAAAATTCCAAACCAGAATCTTCCTCTTGTTCTTATGCCCAGAATGGTACCACTTCATCATTTTTTTGTTCTGGGAAATCTAAAAGTACCTGGGTCATTGACTCAGGTGCTACTGACCATATGACCTCCATTTCAAACCTTTTCTTTTCATATAAACCCTGTGCAGGGGACAAAAAAGTAAAAGTGGCAAATGGCTCTCTATCAGCCATTGCAGGGATGGGAAATATTAAACTTTCCTCATCTATTAATCTATCCAAAGTCCTACATGTCCCTAATCTGTCTTGCAATCTTGCCTCTGTTAGTCAGTTAACAAAAGACCTACAATGTTGTGTTAATTTTTATCCTTCTCATTGCATTTTTCAGGACTTGGCATCGGGGAAGATGATTGGCAGTGCTAGGGAAGAGGATGGACTCTATATCTTTGATGAAGGAACTCAATCAAATAAAAGAGGTCAAAGAAATGCTTGTCTGCAAACTGTTTCTTTTTCAAATAATAAAGAGTTGTATTTACTTCACTACAGATTAGGACATCCGAGTTTTTATTATTTAAAAAAGGTGTTTCCTCAGTTATTTATTAATAAAGATGTGTCTTTGTTTCATTGTGATATGTGTGCACTTGCAAAACATCATAAAAACTCTTATATTCCCCATAGTTATAAACCCACTAGTCCTTTTACTTTGGTCCATAGTGATATTTGGGGTGCATCTAGAGTACCTACTATAAAAGGAAAGAGATGGTTTGTAACTATCATAGATGATCATACACGGGTCACATGGGTATTTTTAATCAAAGAAAAATCTGAAGTAGAAAAAGTGTTTAGGGATTTTTATGCAATGGTCCAAACTCAATTCAATACCAATATTAAAATGGTAAGAAGTGATAATGGCCGTGAATATTTTTCTCAAACCCTAAACAGTTTTTTTGCTGAAAAAGGAATAATTCATCAAAGCTCTTGTATCAATACACCAGCTCAGAATGGAATTGCAGAAAGAAAAAATAGACATTTGCTTGAAGTCACTCGTGCAATCATGTTTTCAACAAAAATCTGAAGTGATAATGGCCGTGAATATTTTTCTCAAACCCTAAACAGTTTTTTTGCTGAAAAAGGAATAATTCATCAAAGCTCTTGTATCAATACACCAGCTCAGAATGGAATTGCAGAAAGAAAAAATAGACATTTGCTTGAAGTCACTCGTGCAATCATGTTTTCAACAAAAATATCAAAATATTTGTGGGGAGAGGCTGTGTTACACGCTACCTATTTGATTAATCAAATGCCATAAAAAATTCTGGGATTTAAAAGTCCTATCAACACACTACAAAACTGTTTTCCTACAAACAGATTTATTGGTACTCTTCCCTTGAAAATATTTGGTTGCACAGTGTTTATTAAAAACCCAGATAAATTTGCAAGTAAGTTTGATCCTAGAGGCACAAAATGTGTTTTCCTAGGTATTTCTTCCACTCAAAAAGGGTATAAATGTTTTGATCCTAAAACACAAAAAATGTTTGTTACAATGGATACTTTTTTTTGTGGAAGATCAACCTTTCTTTGATAATCATCTTCGGGGGAGAATTTGAGTAAAGATGATCAAACAGTGCCATATATCCATGAAAACCTTAATTTTCTTGACATTGATCTAGATGTTCATTCCTTTAAAAATATAGGTGCATCTGAAAATAGTCAAGAATTAACAAATAATGAAATAAATACAACTGAACCAATTGAAAAAGGAGATAAACAGACAAGTAAATTCTTTGGCAAAGTTTATGAGAGAAGAATTCCAAATCAAAGGATAGAGGAAGTTCCTGAACATAGATACATAAATCGCTCAAACACCCGCGAACTGCGTTCCGAACGCCGCGTACCCAAACGCGGTACGAAAGCGTTCCAAACGCTACCCGGATCGCTCTGTAAAACGCTGCTACAGTCGTTCGCGATCGCTTCCCAAATCGTTCGCAATCGCTTCCCAATTCGTTCGCAATCGTTAGCCAGGTTCTTCCCAAACGTAACTGGAGTCTTCCGCAATGACATACAGGTCTCGCTTAATCGCGAATCCGAACAGTAACGATAACAGCCCTACCAATCGCGAACAATGTCCTCCTTTCCTGCGCAGTTAACATAAATAGGCATGTTCGTTTGAAACTTTGAAACGAGTTAGCCTCTTCGATTTCCGCTCCAGGTAATCAAATTACAAAGTACGAACTCTTCATTCTCGTCGTTTCCTATGCAGTTTAAAAAGTGTTGGCACTTTCATTTTCTTTTATGGAATATTAATGTTTTTTTCTATTTTTAAAAAATGTTTTGACTTGTGATTATGAAAATATAAGATGTGTACACCGCACACATCTTAATATGTGTACCAAAATATATGGAATATTAATGTTTTTATAGAATATTAATGTTTTTTTCTATTTTTTAATATGTGTACCAAAATATAAGATACAACGTTTGGAACATGTGGTACACCGTACCGAACGCGTACCGGAATGAACCTACCCCCTTCAAACCGGATACGTTAGATCTAGCGAACCGCGTTCCCGTTCCTCGTTCCCGTTTCGAATCGTTCCGCGAACCATGTGACTATGTTCCTGAACCTACTTCTGTGCATGATTCTGACTCAATGACAGGGAGTGAAAAAGGTAATACTTCTAGTCATCTTGATCTTCCAATTGCCCTCAGAAAAGAAAGAAGAACATGTGTTAAATACCCTATCTCAAACCATGTTTCTTATTCTAAATTGTCCTCAGTTTTTGCAACATTTACTTTCAGTGTTTCCTCTATCTCTATTCCTTCAACCATACAGGATGCTCTATCTAAACCTGAGTGGAAGAAAGCTGTTTTGGAGGAGATAGAGGCTCTTGAAAAGAATCAGACATGGAAACTTGTAGAATTGCCTAAAAACAAACCAACAGTTGGTTGCAGATGGATTTTTACTCCTAAGTTTAAAGGAGATGGAAGTCTGGAGAGATATAAGGCAAGGTTAGTTGCTAAGGGGTACACACAAACCTATGGCATTGACTACACAGAAACCTTTGCACCAGTTGCAAAGTTGAACACTGTAAGAATTCTATTATCTCTTGCTGCTAATTTAGACTGGCCACTCACCACTGCAACAATTGGATGTAAAGAATGCTTTCTTAAATGGGAAACTTGAAGAAGAAGTGTATATGAAACCTCCTCGTGGATTTGAGAACAAATTTGGTTCAAAGGTATGCAAATTAGAGAAAGCTCTGTATGGGCTTAAACAGTCTCCAAGAGCCTGGTTTGATAGGTTCACAAAATTTGTAAAGAAACAAGGGTTTAATCAGGCTCAAGCTGATCATACATTATTCATGAAGTTTTCAGGCAAGGGGGAGATTGCAATACTAATTGTCTATGTAGATGATATTATCCTCACAGGAAATTATCATACAGAGACTAAGAACTTAAAAGAAAAACTTGCTCAGGAATTTGAAGTCAAAGACCTAGAAGATTTAAAATACTTTCTGGGAATGGAGATAGCTAGATCAAAAAAGGGTATTGTTGTCTCACAAAGAAAGTATATCTTAGATCTTCTGCATGAAACTGGGATGAGTGGATGCAAACCAGCAGACACTCCAATTGATCCAGGTCAGAAGTTGGGAGATATCAAGGGGGGAATTCCAGTTGACATTCACCAATATCAAAGATTGGTGGGAAGATTAATATATCTGGCACATACAAGGCCAGATATTGCATTTGCAGTAAGTATGGTGAGCCAGTTTATGCATAATCCATTCCAGGAACATCTTGATGCTACTTACAGGATTCTAAGGTACTTGAAGAGCTGCCCAGGGAAAGGATTGTTCTTCAAAAAAGGAAACAGTAGGACAATTGAGGCCTATACTGATGCAGATTATGCTGTCTCAATATCTGATAGGAGGTCTACTTCTGGATATTGTACCTATGTATGGGGCAATTTAGTAACTTGGAGAAGTAAGAAACAAAATGTGGTTGCTAGAAGTAGTGCAGAATCAGAATTCAGATATATGGCTAATGGAATATGTGAATTACTCTGGATCAAGAGAGTAATCACAGAACTGAAGATGGAACTGCCTATGAAGTTGTACTGTGATAATAAAGCAGCTATAAGAATTTGCTCATAATCCTGTGCTACATGATCGAACTAAGCACATTGAAGTGGACAGACATTTCATTAAGGAGAAGATAGAAGCTGGAATTGTTTGCACACCATTTGTATCTACTACAGATCAAACAGCAGATATCTTCACCAAAAGATTATTTAAACCTGTGTTCGAACTGCTTATAAACAAGTTAGGAATGTATGATATATATTCACCAACTTGAGGGGGAGTGTAGAAAATGTTACATTATTGTAGAAAATGTTACATGATTTAATTTGGTGTACATACTTAGCCGATTAGATTAGAATAGAAGTTGTTATTAAGAGATAAGCTTGTAGTTATCAAGATCCTATTTTTTAGGATCTACACTAGCTGATTAGTTACTTGTATATCTGTATAAATACTCTGGCCGATTGGCATATTCAATCAATGAAATCAATTCCCAAAACCTACATGTTTTGTCGTAAAAGACATGGCACATGACTAGAATGGGAGTGATTTGGACCAAATGATATCCAGTTTAGGTCAGTTTAAGCTTGGTTGGTTTGGTTTGAACAGTTCAAAACCAAATATTTTTTAATTTTTGTGAAAAGACCCGAAGTAGCAAAAGCCTGGATACAATAATCAATTGGGCTTATTATTGTACTTTATAATTTGGTATTTGTTTTAAAATAGGAAAGGCTAGATGAATTCAATTATGGTTTTGTCAGTTTTGGTAAGTTTTTTGTTGGTTTCAGTCGATTTTGGTCAGCTTCGGTCAGTTTTGACAGTAAAAACCTTAAATGCATATGGTTAGATCAGTTTGGGTTGGTTTTGGGCAGTTCCGTTTCACTCGATTTGGTGGGTTATTTTCAGCCCTAGAAAGCATTGAGAAAACTGTCTAAATAGGACTAAAATAAACATTAAGTTCATATATAGGACTCTCTTTGTTTTATTCTCAAAATAGGACTCATTCACTCCTATTTTAATCAACTTATTCTTTTAGTAGGACTACATTAGTCCTATTTGGGGAATAAAACACACTTAGTCCTGTTTTTGAATTTTGTATATGTTTTAGTCCTATATTGAGCAATTTCTAGAAAGCATTTGTTTCACATGCCTAGAATATCGATATTTCATTGTGAATTTGTGATTTCCTTCCATGACTATATAGACATCCACTAAGACTGTATTATTAAAGAAATTGCCCTATGTAGGAGTAAAACGTTTGTGAATTCCAAAATATGACTTTTATGTTTTTATTCCCTAAATAGGAGTAATTACTCCCATTTTTTGGCATTACCAGGCTTTAAACATGGAAGTATTTTCCAAGCTTGGCAGTAATTACTCCTCTTTAGGGAATAAAAACATAGTACTCCTATTTTGGAATTTCAAAACGTTTTTACTCCTATTTCAGGAATTTTCCCTTTTTATTATTATCAACATACCAAGTGTGTAAAAAAGAACCATTCAGCTTTCTTTTCATGGACAATATATAATTCCTTAAATATGACTTTTATGTTTTTATTCCCTAAATAGAAGTAATTACTCCCAAATTTTGGCATTACCAGGCTTTAAACATGGAAGTATTTTCCAAGCTTGGCAGTAATTACTCCTCTTTAGGGAATAAAAACATAGTACTCCTGTTCTGGAATTTCAAAACGTTTTTACTCATATTTCGGGAATTTTCCCTTTTTATTATTATCAACATACCAAGTGTGTAAAAAAGAACCATTCAGCTTTCTTTTCATTGACAATATATAATTCCTAAAGTGTTAGGAACTCAACCAAAGCAGTAGAAAATTAGCAATATATTGAAGAAGGTCGCAGAGTTACAATGGCGTGCAAGACAGAAAGAGAAGAAACAGGTTGGGACACTTCGAGAGGTCCCGCTCTCCCAGCCGATTCTACTCAATTCCAGCCTACCCTCTCTTCCTCTATTCCTTCTATTTATTCTTTTCTAATGAGGCTTCCCCTCAATCTAACTACTTACTTGGCCCAGCCCATTTCCTCATTACACTTTATTAAAATATTCATTATTATATCTATTATATCTCACGCCATAAGCCCACATAAGCCCATAAGTCCAGGTCCCTATCATCACTCCCCCCTTTGACAGCCACCTTGTCCTCAAGGTGGGTGATAGGAGACAACCTTGATTTTTAACTTCATCTTCATCCTGGAGCCTCTTCCTTCCCAGTACCTCCCCGATTGCTGAACCGTGATCTTCAGTAGCTTCACTCCTAGTCCCCTCTGTATTGCATATCTCAAAGCTTTCAACCTATCCCTTGAAAGATGCTCCTTACTGAAAAACTCATACAGAACTTCATCCACACACATATCAAGAGAAGGTTCAAGTGGATTTGAGTCTTTGTATTGTGTTTCTCCATCTGCCGCAGTTAACTGTTTTGATATTGCTGCAAACAGTCTCTCTGAAAACAAACCATCATCCCCCATAATCAGTGTGTCCATGTCTTTGATAAGTTGCAGGAACTTGTGACTATGAAAACTCAATGTTTTGGCATCCTTCAATCCTTTGTGGACCTGCTGCTCTGTCATCTGCCGAAGAGTGATGACACAGTATGCCAACTCCCTCAAGTTATGCAGTTTTAACTTTACAAACCTCTTGCTTCTTCTCCCACCCGGGCCAGAACCAAATAGAGTATGGACCTCTTCCATAAGAGGAATGATCCTTCCTGACTCCTTAACCTCCATAACTAATGCAGTCACACAGGCCTCCAATTCACCCCTCTCCTCAGCACCAGCTATCAATAAACCAATGTCCAAAGACCTAACACTCCTTTCTTTGCATACATCAGTGCCAACTATATTGTCATGCTCCTGATTAAACACAATCCCTAATTTTCCCTCTTCATGAGATATTGCAAACTCATCTACTGGCCAATGCATTGTGGCAGCATCATGTTGAACGTCTGATTGTATTCCATTTTCTAGGACACTGATGAATACTGCATCTCTCGCTTTGCTATTAATTTCATTAATAGCAACAGTATACAAAGTAGCCTGGGACTCATCTACTTGTTTATTATTTATTAACAATAAGGATGTCCTGGTGAGCATAATCTGTAAATTTAGCTGCACCTATCTCCGAACCTTGAGTTCTATCTACCAGGGTTGCAGATGTAACCAGACCTATATAAATTTCAGGAACCACCTTGGTCTCCAACTCAGAAGTATTTGAGCGAGCACTTTTATAATCAGAAGATTTATATTCCCTGGCAATCGATGACTGACTCACCACATAAGAGATCTCCTCGCATCCCTCATTATCATCGATGTACGTACTTTTGGAGGGAAGTTGTCGCTGACGGGTAGACTCTGACTCAACTTGCGCACAAAGTAGAACTGTTCGAGGCGAAGCTGGTCGAGCTGTGAAAAACGAAGCTTGCAAATTGAAACCTCCTGTCGATCTCGTCTCACTTGGAGGAGAACTGAGATAAGCTGTCTGCGACACCGTCTGCGGACTGGGAACATCTGCTCGCTTCAACACCTGAGAACATGAAGCTTCTCCTCTGGATCGCGTCATACTTGATCGTGAACTGTTGGCGGATGTTGAAGCCTGCGATTTAGATCGATCGAAATTTCCTCCTGCGGCTGAGGACTTCCGACTCTCTTCGTGGGTCCTCCTAGGTGTTCGCGATTGTCCTCGCGAGCGGTGCTGCTTCTGGTTCGTCACCAAATTTCTCAGCTCTTCTATCCTCGCATCCATCCTCTGTTCCACGTTCAGCATCCAGTTCCGCATCTCCTCTACTGTCGATCGCAGATCCTGAACGCCGTGTTCCATCAATTCAACTCTGTGTTCCATCGATTCCACTCTGTCTTCTATCCGAGTTCTATTCCAGGTCATTCACAGATTTTCCAGGGTCGTTTGCTCTGATACCAATGTTAGGAACTCAACCAAAGCAGTAGAAAATTAGCAATATGTTGAAGAAGGTCGCAGAGTTACAATGGCGTGCAAGACAGAAAGAGAAGAAACAGTTTGGGACACTTCGAGAGGTCCCGCTCTCCCAGCCGATTCTACTCAATTCCAGCCTACCCTCTCTTCCTCTATTCCGTCTATTTATTCCTTTCTAATGAGGCTTCCCCTCAATCTAACTACTTACTTGGCCCAGCCCATTTCCTCATTACACTTTATTAAAATATTCATTATTATATCTATTATATCTCACGCCATAAGCCCACATAAGCCCATAAGTCCAGGTCCCTATCATAAAGCTTCAGAAAGAACTAACCAAAAGTATCCCATCTGGTAGCATTTGATATTATGGTTTTAGCATAAAACTTCCTCCCATCGGACAGCTTCACTCCCACCTAGAAGGCAAATGAGAACAAAAAGAGCATCTTTATTTGGCACCTAGTAACACGATAGTCTCCAAGTAGCCAGTTAAGGTCTATTTGGATTGTGGGGGTTTTGGAGAGTTTATAGTTGATATTTTATTAAATTATTGAGCTCATAGTAGGTGATATATAAAAGCGCAACTGCTTCACTGAATTTCAATTCGCATAGCAACCTTGCAGGAAACAAACCATCTGCCTAGTATCAATCTAAATCCTTCAAGGAGGTTTGCGTTGATAGGAAATCTGAGCTCGTTGCTGCCTCATCTCAATCGGCCATCACCAAAATGGCTCACCATACACCATGACATCAATGTCTGAGAATGCAATATGTACCAAACCTCAATGCATTGTCTACTGGAGAAGTGTTTTTGGTGCTGCAACTGGCAATGCTCTAAAAAGCTTTTGATTCATTTCAAGCGCACTTATAAAGAAGGTAATAAGATTGTGGTTTTTTTTTTTGCAGATCTTGGATATTCTACTAGAAGGGTGTATTAGATAAATAAAAAAAATAAATGGGGTTTGTAAATCTTTACAGTCCATTTGGATAGAATGAGCCTAATTAACGGGTCAAATGAACTTAAATAAATGGGTTTAATAAAAATAAGTGACCATAGGTTAGGGAAATTTGGGTGAACCTATGTACATATATAAAAATGTTGTTTAGCTAATTATTAAATTAACCTAGATAGATGCAATTAGGTGAACATATTTAAATTACTTGTAAAGAGAACTCAACCTCCAAAAACCCTTATCCAGAGGTTCTCCAAAATAGGGTTTCTGGAGGTTCTCCGAGGTAGATTCTCTTAAAACCTTGGTTTTGTTCAAAAATGGAAACAAACAAGGTGCATAAAACCAAGGTTCACCTCGAAACCAACCATTATTGTTGTCTGATAAATTTGGAAACCCTATAGTATGGATTTTGACCAGCAATCAATCAAGAACCCAATCAGCATTAGTCTACGGATTACTATTATCATCCTTGATTTATATTACTAATTTATTTATTACCTTATTTACGTACAGAGTACTGTGGTAGATTATAAATATGACCTTCCTTTAGAAAAAGTATTGACAGATAAGCACAATTAAGAGTCTTTTAGAGTTGAGCGGCCCTAGGAAGTTGGCCAAGCTAAGCTTTCTAGGGAGTACCATCGGGCATTTCATGTTCTTTTATTTCTAGTTCCACACATGTGTGGCTTCATTTTTATCTTGGTTTTATCACTTTATGGAACATCTTTTTGTGTCTACAACTGTGCTTCTTTACTCTCTATCACCATAACTTTAGATTTAACAAGTATTTGCTGGTTGCAGTCACCTTCCTGATAGTATGAACGTTGATTTGGTTGTAAAAAGGTGATCATTAAACTTTTCAATCGGCTTTTATTCGTTTTAAGAAACATTATATTGATCAACACTAAGCCCTCCAAATACTTCCCCTCCAAAACTCTTTAACTCTCCAAACGTTTCATTCAAATTAACCTTTAGAAGAAGCAAAAAGTGTAGCGAATCTTACAGCTTTGCCATTTTCAACAATAATATTGGTTACATTTGCCCGGTATAGTATTTGACTACCCTGGCTGACCAAGCCTTGTGCTAGGGACTTGGCAATCTCTCCCACGCCACCAACAGGATAGTTGATTCCGCCAAAATGTCTGTCACATAGGACCTAAGGAAGAATAGTAAGCGTAAGAAGTTGGGAGGGAACGGTGTAAATAAAATGGGAAGGTGGAGAGTTAACATGAAAGTACCATGCTTGCATTGATCATTGGCGTTTGCAAGGCTTTAACAGTGCTGACAATGAAGCACTGAAGAACAACATTAGTTTTTACAAGAAAGCAGTTATTGTGCTAATAAAGGTAGTGAAAGCTCAAGCAAATTCCTACTTCAGTTCACAACAAGTGTCCTTTTGGATGAAATCAAGTGGAATAAAAAGAATGAGAATAGAATTTATAATTTTAAGGTATTACCATTTACTAACTTTGTTTTATAAAATGACACACATTGTGAAACAAAAAACATCCGAAAGGGCACTTACACCAGAGGGGGTATTATAAAGCAAAGAAGCTAACTAACCTCTGCGTCAATAAAGGAGAGCAACTGAGCGTCTTTAATGAACTTCCGAGCAATGTCACCGGCATTCTGGGGCAAATAGAAAGCTGTAATGAGAAAACAGGAGGCATGACAAGGATATTTTGATTAGGAATGTTTAAAATTTCCTTGAGAGGAAAAGGGGGAGATAAAGAGAGGACTTATTGAATTCCAGCTAACTATAAAACTATTTCCTTATCCACATGAAATCACATCCAAGCCTATCACTATGGGATGGAGGAAGTAGAATACCAGAAGACAATAGGGTGATAGTAAAACGTGCTGCTTAAAACATAGGATATTAAGTTCTTAATTAGAGGAGTACATACGATACTGAATTAAAAATAATAATTACCAAGCGTCAAGCATTCTAGGGGCTTCTTAAAAAACTGTCCAAAAAGGTAAAGAGGTTCCTCCAATGATTTCAATTCCAAGGAATTCAAGGCGTTGAAGACCTGCCCAAACACGTTGATCAAAATCATCAATGTCAGCCAAATGTACAAAACTGATCAAATTTATTAAAAATCAAAGAAACAGCTGCTAAATTGATCTTAATTAAAAACCCACCTTCCAACATTCACCATAGAACTTCAGAATTCCTTCCCTCTCATGTGGAAATTTGTTAACAAGTTCTGCAATGAAGTCAGTGTATTCTCTGTGTATTCGGACAGAAAGTTCATTTGGTAAGTGGAAATGAACAGTTGTAGGGTCAGGTATCACCTGTACTTTACATCCTACAGCTCCCAATGCCTGAGTTATCAGATTCAGATTTCCCTGTGTGCAGATATGAGACACAAATGTACAATAATCAACAAGTAATGAAACATAATCACATACTTAAGAATGCATCATCACTCTAAGCAGAGACAATATCCCTAATACGTTCGTTCGACGGTTCGGTTTTGTAGGTTTTTGGTCTGGTCAATTTTCGGTTTTGTGAAATGTGAAACCGAAAACCGAACATAGTACCTTTACTAAGTTTCATTCAGTTATTTTCAGTTGGTTTGTCAGTATCAGTCAGTTCTACACTTCTACTTGGTTCGGTCGGTTGGTTATGGATAAACCTAAAACCATGAACCAAACCGCCTATGTTTGGCCGGCTTTTATCAATCTAGGTTTAAGGTCATTTCGATTTTTGTTGCTGGTTCGGGTTGTCAGCCGTTTCGGTTTATCGTCTTGTATTCAGCCATAATCCCTTATGGGTACCATCAAGTTCAGAACCCTTGCCTTGAACCCTTGCCTCAGTCCCATCAGAGGTATTTATAGACATACAATGATAAGCTCTGTTAGTTTATATTCACGTATAATTCGCGTATAATACACTCAAACGTATAGTTCACGTATAATACTCCCGTTTATGAATTTTTCAAAAAATTCTTAAAAATTCACGTACTTTAAGGATAAAATGTATAATACACGTACCGTGCGTATTGATACGTATTTTATTCACGAATAATACTCCCGTTTATGAATTTTTCAGAATCTTCTGAAAAACTCACGTACTTTAAGGATAAAATGTATAACACGCGTACTGTATGTATTGATACGTATTTTATTCAAAAACACACACCATTAAACAAAAGCCCAATGGAGTGATACAATTGAAACGAAATGTCTAGCTGCTCAATATTATTTATATTGCTTAAAAAAACTTTGTGCCTTATATGTTCGCTAATTGTTTAATAGTCATTACATGTAGTAAACTAGCTTCTTAAATTCGTAATCTGTTTCGATATTATTATTGTACTACTATTGTATTACTTTTGTTCTCTACCGATACCAAGATTCCAAAGAGATCGAAAAATGTTGTGGCGGCTCACCAAACTCACGGTCACAGTAATATCAACTATTCTCTAGTAATATCCCTCTACTTCTACTCAAATAGGCAATGTCATTTTTATTACTTATTATACCTATGCATTCAAATCCGTATATTTGAAAAAACTATTCCGTACATTTTAAATTGTTGAAGAATGTGGTGGAAATGTTAAATACCTCTTTATTGCTATCATTAAATTAGTATATAAGACATACATTATATGTCGTATTTTTAAATTGTGAAACGTTTAAAATACGTCCGTATCTTTATATATTTCACGAACGTATGAAACATATATTAAGCCGTATTTTATATAATTATCGTATTATAGACGAACGTACGTATTATTGTATTATTCACGAACCGTATATTACTAACAAAGATGATAAGTATAGGCTACTCGCATGTCCAACATGTGTCTTTATGCCTTGGATGCACAACAGGTGTTGGCTAACTATCTAAGCGCATGACATATACCGTTCCCATGACATGAGGCCTCTCTCATTAGATCTCAAATCAGATGGGCAGGCTGGTGTGATCCTGCACTCTATTCAGCTATTTCGTGTTTGTCTTCTTGTGCCGAGCCTAGGCCAATGTCTGCTGCCAAGATCAGGGTTCGGCCAGTCTGGTCTGAGAATCCACTCTCAAGTCCAAACCTCATGTATAGCGCTAGGTTCAAGGATGAACATGGGAAATAATTCAAGCCAAATAGTCAGGGTCTAGGCTCTTATACTCTATAAATACTACCTATTTCAATTTTACCGTGTGCTCAACAAGCTCTTCCAGCATTAGGGAAGCACCTAGGGTCTGCTTGAAACTAGGAAATTGCAGGGGGGTAAAAATAAATAGGGAATTTGAAAGGAGAAAATGTAAGAAAAACATTTTGGAAAAAATGCCTCATGCTCAATATATTATATTTGTTCAAACTAGATTTATTTAAATATTTCTAGATTTGATCAAATTTGATTTTCCCTCGTACTTTTAAGCTAAGAACAAACAACAAATGGCCTTAGTATTTTTTCCCCTTGAACTTTCTTCTTTCCCTGTCCTACGATTTTCCTGGTTCTGAACATAGCCTTAATGTAGGTTTCCTTAGAACTTAGAAGTTTCAATGCTTATGTTTCCATTTAAAATGAAACAAAGTGGACTAATATAATCAGAAGTGTGACTAACCTTATCACTGAATCCAAACATGACAGAAGATCCAACATCAAAAGTGTAACCATCTCTGTGGTAAAACCCAGCGCTCCCACCAGGAATCACATACTTCTCCAGTACCAAAACCTTGGCTCCTTTCACGGCCAATTGAGTCCCAGCCACCAAACCACCAATCCCTGATCCTATCACAATCGCATCGTACCTGCTATCGCCCTCTACTGCTTTATTGTCTCCCCTACCCGCCAATTTTAACTGAGAAGAAACGCATATTCCTCTTTGTTTGGCACTTGGAAGCCCCACCAAATTGAAGCCACCAAGCAGGAGATCATCACAACTTTCATTTGTAAAATATGAACTTTTAAGTTTCGGAAATACGGGTTTGTGACCACACAGAACTGCTGCAACCCCAAAATTAAAAGTAAACATTCCCAGAGTGGGTGTGTTGCGATGCTATTCTGGTGAACAAAGCTTCTGGAATGCAAATTATTAAAAATATTTCAGAGTTTGCTTAGCAGGCGACACCAAAACGATGAAAATTGAATTCTCGAGCTGAGACAGTGCAGGGGCCTGGGTTGTGAGCAGTGAATCAACTTCATCTCGTAGTAGGAGTAGGCCAGTAGGGTGCGACTTTGCACCCTATTTTGGAAAAATTATTTTGATTTTGCATTCCAACGCATAACGTTTGTGAATAAAAATTTCTAAGTAGGATGTTAAATAAAAGTTTTTTGAAAATTGGATGCAAGTTCGATATCATTCAAAAAATGGGGTGCAAAGTTAAGTTCTTTTTAAGTCTCCCAGAAAACTGTTGAGAATTTGACTTCTTCACTTGCTCCTGGCTGTCCCAGTTTGGCCGACTCAAACACGAGATTACTCAGGCTAAGAGCTTCATCCTTCCTCTCCTGCAAATGGCAGCATGGAGATTCCTGGGAGACATCATCTATGCTTCCCGCAGGGCAGCACCTTGCCTTTCCTCCATTCACACTTGCTGGAGTATTATCACAGGTCCACAGCTTCTGTATAGCCATCACAAAGAAAGACCTGCAAAATAGAATAACAAGAAACACCGTGGTTCGTGTCCTCTGAAAGTATTTCCGGTGAACGGAAATCTTCCCCCAGGATTAAACGAGCCCTTCGACAAATAGTCGGAACCAGAACTACGAGGGAAATCATAATTATAATCCAGCAAAGGCTTTTGTAAGAAAGCATTTTAATGAAGGCTTTTAGTAAAGTTTGCAGGGAAGATGGTTTTGAGTAGAAGTGTTCGTAAGTCGTAATACAATGCACAACTCTCGTTTTTAATAGAAGGAAGAAGTGGAACAATAATATTGTTATTGATCCTAAAAAGTTGGAGATAAAAAAGCCCAGCCAAGTATTACTCCCTCAGCCAAGATGCACGTTAGAAAACAATTGAGATAACCGACCCAGTCAATTAAGTGCTCGGTTATTATATACTAATTAAAACAAAAGTTTTTATTTGAAATATACTCCCTCCGGTTCTAAATAAACTTCACACTTTCCTTTTTGGGACGGTCCAAAATAAACTTCACACTTCCTTATTTCCTTATTTGGCAAAGAAATCTACATCAAAACAGTGTTAAACAGTGCTAAACAGTGCCAAACAGTGTCTCATCAGTGCCAAACAGTGTCAAACAGTGCCAAACAGTGTCTCAACAGTGTATTCTACAGTAAAGTCAACTTTATTTTCTTAATAACTGTGAAGTCAAACACTGAAGTTTAAAAAGAACCGGAGGGAGTATTAAATATTTCCAACAGAAACTTCATCAATTTCTTTTCTCATCTCTCCTCTCTTCTCTCTCTTCTCCACAAGTATCAACGATAAGACTTATTGATCAAGTTTAATGGAATGAAGACAGTATGATCTAGTTTGATTTGGTCTATTTAAGTATGGTCTTGTTTGGTTTAATTTAGACTGATCTGGTATATGTATGTGACTATGTGTTTTACAACTCTCAAATTTAAGTCTGCTCTGATTTGTTTAAGTCTTATTTAAGTCTGGTCTTAGATTAGTCAAAGTAAAAACACTAGAAATTTAAAACCGCCCACATATATCACATTCATGCGGTCATGCCACAAAGCCCTAATAACATGCTCCTTCCATCCCTTAAAACTTTGTCAACTTTTCTTTTTTGGATGTTCCACTAACTTTGTAATACATGCTATAGAGGAGAGTGTCTCTTTTCTTAACAAAAGTGAATCCTGAATGAACATGTTATGTGAAGTTGTCCAACAATTGCAAGTGTCTAGAAAAAAACTCACATTTGATTGCATAACACTTTGGAACTCAACATACGCCATATTGCAGTGTGCATATATGTTCAAGGATGTATTTCCAATATTTCAAAGAAAGGAACCCAATTAGATATCATGTCCCTCAAAAGAAGATTGGGAGAAAGTAGAGAAAATTATGGGAAAAGTGTCAAATAGGTCCTCGAACTTTCATAAAAAAGTCAATTAAGTCCTTATTTAGGAGGCTCTGTCCGGTCGTCGTGATTTGGGACGGTTCTTGGTGGAATTTTTTGATGAAATTTTTTTAGCATCTTATTCATCAAGTCTAGTTTACTCATACCAAATTTGAGCTAAAACTTCAATCGGTAACGCATTCAAATTAATTCTTGAAGATAATTGTGCAGTTAAATGAGCAGTTATCTTCAAGAATTAATTTGAATGCGTTCCCGATTGAAGTTTTAGCTCAAATTTGGTGTGAGTAAACTAGACTTGATAAATAAGATGCTCAAAAAATTTCATCGAGAAATTCAACCAGGAACCACCCCAAATCGCGACGACCGGACAGAGCCTCCTAAATAAGGGCTTAATTGACTCTTTTATGAAAGTTCGAGGACCTATTTGACAGTTTTGATGGTTTTCTCCAATCTGACCAACATATATAATATGTAAAAGTGAATATCCCATTGACAAAATTTCCCTGGCTGGAGTTTCAAAGATTAAACAAAGCTTAGACAATCGTGAAAGTGACAGAAGTGCATTTGTGAAGAATATGGTTGACCTAATGAACAAAAAGTTTGACAAATACTAGGTAGAGTGCAGTTTACTCATGTCTATTGCTGTTGTTCTTGAATCAAGAGTGAGAATTAGGGCTCTGGACATTTTTTTCCTAAGATATATTGTGAATCAGAGGTAGACATCAACATAGATCAGAAAAGGTGATGTGAAGTGCTTTGCTTGATCTGTATAATGGGTACGTGACAATGAAAAAGGTTGAAAAAATTGCCCTAAATAGGACTAAAATGTTTGTTTATTCTAAAATAGGACGGTCGTGTTTTTGTTCTCTGAATAGTAGTAAATAATGTCATGTTTTGACAATATCAGACTTTAAACATGATAATATTTTCCAAACTTGGAAGTAATTACTCTTATTTAGGGAATAAAAACATAACAAGTCCTATTTTGGAATTCTCGAACGTTTTTACTCCTATTTTGGGAATATTTCCAAAAAAGTTCTACTCTAAGAAAGAAAAAGTTTATTTATTCTCAATACTTTTCATGAATGAACTCATTAACATAAACTTTTATGAGTTGCATGCATATATGAAAGAAGTAGACACTGGCTCCGTTTGGAAACCAGCGGATTGGCCAAACCGCCAAATATTTTACAAAAGAAAACGCTGAGTTTTCTAGCGGTTTGGCTGCCAACCGCCAAAAAACAAACGCTCCCACTGTCTAGCCACATAGAGCAGACTTGTACATGTATTTTGAAGATGGTTGCTATATTTGTGCAGAAGGAAATCTGAATTGTTTGATATCTTGGCTTGTTGGAAAGGAAACCGATCAAAGTACCATGTTCTTTTAAAAATGGAAGTTAATATCTTGGCAATTCTGATGATTGCAGTGCTTATGTATTGTTGGAACAAGAGTAAATGACACTTTGTGGAGGAGATTGACTTAGAAATCTTCATGAGGTAAAAAAACAAAAGCAAAGTGAGTAGCATATGTGACTTCAAATTTAATCTTCATGATGATTATTTTTAAGAATTTATTGTGTTCATTTTATAATCCAAGTTTTTGTTTTGCAAGAGTGCAAAGAACCGATAAATATTAATCTATCGATATCATAGATGGTCTGACAAGAAGTTTTAATGCAGTAGATGAGTTTCAGTTTCCGAATTACTGATTGGAGTATGAAATCTAGCGCATTGTGTTTGTCTATTTTACTTTTTAATAATTTTGGACAATGGGAATTTAAACTATGAACTAGTTCGGTTCTTGACTACAAACATAATTGCTCGGGAATGAATTGCTTAATTTATGTGTTAGGGATCATTTACCTAGTTTCATTTTTGTACACGTTTTGTTTAATTCATACCCTTTCACCTTTAAGTATTGTTTATGCATGCATTTACTGGAATGCAGAAGAGTATACAAATGTACACTCAAAAGCATGGACATATCTTATTTAGTTGCAATAATGTTCCTTGGACACTATGTCTTTAATCGGTTGTTCCGTTTGTCTTCTAAAATATTTTTTTTGCAACTTATTGACTGTCCACTATTGCTCAAAGGAATATTGTGGTGCCTTGATGATAATTTTTGGAATTGTTATTGAAAGGAAAAATCTTATATTAAATTCATAGAACCAACAAATTCCAACATCAGTAGTAAGTAGTAACCCAAACTTCCCTTTGTACTCCTTATAGCTAATGGGCCCTCTCACTCTTTAATCAGACATAGAATAGATTGCCCAAAATCGAGAAAGACTACAACTAGAGACGCGAGAGATTCGAAGCTGTTATAGGCCAGAATAGCCTGATTACTTCTACTCAAACTAATATCATAAAAAAAACAAAATATAAGTTGTCTACCCTCAATGTCAATGATAAAGATAAAAACGGAGTACTTAACTAAAATGCTAAAATTAAAGAACGAAACAAAGCAAACATGGCTTATGGGTTCCTTCACTCCACTTTCTTCTTGTTACTTCTACAAAGTTCTCTGTCTTGTGCTAGGTGAGCCACATGGTCGCATCTCGCCTCCCGTCCATTTTTTGTCAAGCTTAGCTATACATTCATGTCGTTATTAGTGTCTTTGTCCTCATCCCCTTCAATTATTCTGCGCTTTTGATCCACTTTGCCTCATGCGCTTGTTATCCCTCTACCCTTCGACATAATGCCCTGCTCTTCATTTGCTTTAGAAATCGTTGCCCCTGCTTCAACGCTTTACCTATCGGAATTAGTCATCTGTGTTCACCCCACCTGTACTCTCCTTTTGTGGCCCTAAGCCACGGGGCCGAATAGTTTTTATCCACTCTCCAAACATCCCTTTAGTTTACGAGGAAAGTAATTCAATTCTCCGCATGCCCAATTATTCCACACAACAAACAAAAATTAGGTAATTTCTCATAGCGAAATGATACACAAAAACTTATCCCAATTCCTTTTGCGAAAATAAACTTCTTTTCAGAGGTTTTCCTAAGTCCATATTGACCCTAATTCTCATAAAAGGATTCCAATTAGGAGAGAAATTATGTTCATCAACTTTAATAAATCTCCAAACAAAATTGCCAATTCTCACTGCGTTTTCAATGTAAAATAATCCACATGTATACCATGAACCTGTATCCAGAAATCTGCTCTATTCAAGGGAACAGACAGATGTAAATCCCCTCCCACCGCTTTATTCGGGACAATAAGATTTTGAT